GAGTCCAAATATTGTCCAAAAATAGCACAATGATAATAAAGTAGAGCCACTGATCCACTAATACTGCTGCAAGCAGAAGTCCCTGTGTAACCAAATATCCATGTCCATTTCCACTTCCAGGTCTTAATGTACAGCCAGCCTGTTCTATAAAACCGAGTTCCAGGACTGGCTCCAAAGCAACACAGAGAAACCCTGTCTCAAAAAAAGAAAAAAAAAAAAGGAAAAAAAAAAAGGAAAAGAAAAGAAAAAGAAAATAGAAACAGTGAGACTAGAGTGCTTTCTACATGCTGTTTCCAGAGAGGAGGCAGTCAACTTAAAAAGAATACAGCAACTCAGGGATGAGCGAAATTGATAACCACCTAAAAAGATGAAAATGATGTGGTCTTTGTGAATAGATGGGCATTTTTATGAATTTTAAAAGTTAATCAAGCCGGGCGGTGGTGGCGCACGCCTTTAAACCCAGCACTTAGGAGGCAGAGACAGGTGGATCTTTGTGAGTTCGAGACCAGCATAGTCTACAAGAGCTAGTTCCAGGACAGGCTCCAAAGCTACAGAGAAACCCAGTAAAAACAAAAACAAAAACAAACAAACAAACAAAAAAATCAGAATTTAATGATTTTAAAGAACACTGCAAATCAAAGCCCTTTAATAAATGCTACCAACAGAAGAACTTTTGGCCATATAATCCAGGCCACCATCCTTTAATTTTAGTATATCAACCTCTGTTTAATATTCTGCTATCTTTAAATATCCCCAAATATATAAGTCTAGAACTTCATGCCACTGAAGTGCTCAGTTAGGAGTCTAAGATTATGCTGTACCACAGAAAGACTGACACTCATGTGCAAAGAAAGACAGCAGCTTCCAGGACAGGCAGTAAAAGAAGGAAAAACCAGTGAGGTCCTGCGTGTGTCTCAACATCATGGCCTCCCTGTGTGAAGAAAGGAGGCTGCTCTTTTGCTAGGCCATGAGGCTGGAATCCACTTGGTGTTCTGTGTTGGGAGGTCTAGAGTTCCATGGTGCTCTCCGCAGCAGTCGGGCGAGGTGACTCTGAGGCTGGGAAACCTGTGCTTTCAGAGAAGCAGGGAAGGGCCCTCTAGGTATGCTGCAGTCTCTCAGAAATGAAGAGTTCATCAAAGCAATAAACAACGGAAAAAAACTTGTCTTCTTAGACCGATTTTCTGTTATTTTCACTGGCCCACCTGCTCCTGATGAATTGTTGTCATTCGTTTTTCTGTTGCGTTTTGTCATTATATCCCATTCAAGCGTAAAAAAATGCCTCTTTTACATTTATGCTGGATTTTGCACGACTCCAAAAATTTAAAACCATAGTCAATTGCTAACTTCTCCCCTCCTTTCTTTTGACACTTGTCTTTTGTCATTCATATCACATTTGTTAACCAGGATCTTTTTTTTTTTTTAAAGATTTATTTATTATGTACACAGTGTTCAGCCTGCAAGTCAGAAGAGGGCACCAGATCTCATTATAGATGGTTGTGAGCCACCATGCAGTTGCTGGGAATTGAACTCAGTGCTCTTAACCTCTTAGCCATCTCTCCAGTCCCCAGGATCATTCTTTCAACATCTGAAGAGGCATGCTCTTTAGTGCTTCTCGTCCAGTTTTTAATATTGTCAAAGGATTTTTCATTGGTGATGTCATAGACCAGCATAACTCCCATGGCTCCTCTATAGTACGCTGCTGTAATTGTTCAGAATGTTTCTTGACCCGCTGTGTCCCATATCTGAGGTTTAATCTTCTTTCCATCGAGTTCTATAGTTCTGATTTTAAAATTAATCCCAATGGTGGAGATGAAGGTGGTGTTGAAGGCGTCCTCAGAGAACCGGAACAGGAGGCAGGTTTTTGCTGATGCTGGAGTCACCGATGAGCAGCAGTTTGAAAAAATAATCGTATGTCTTCACCATCTTCTCGCTCTGGCCCTCTCTGACCAGGGAAAGCAAGGAGGCAAGGAGGTGGTGGAAAGAGGCATGGAGGGGGGCCTCGGGTGAGGTGGCATGTCCGCCGAGCTGCCTGCGACCTGCCCCGCCTCTCCCTAGTTATTTTTTATACAATCAAACTCCACTACCTGCAGGAAGCAACCCAAAGGGTACTCAAAGGAATGAAATCTGGCAAATGGATGTGTTCCATTTGGTTAATTTGGAAAATTAAAATATGCACACCATACCATTGATACCTATTCAGGTTTTCAATGGGCAACTGCTTTGAGTTTGGAAAAGGCTGATTTGGTAATCATACATTTCCTAGAAGTTATGGTAATCAATTAAGAGTGACAATGCTCCAACATAATCTCTAGTAAAATAAAAGTCTTTTTTTTCTTGCTTATTACATACAAAGCACATTAAAGGTATATCACACAATCCTACAGGGCAGGAAGTTACAGAAAGACCAAATTGAACTCTAAATAAAGACACCCAGAAATAGACTGCATAATGACTTATTAACTTTGAATATTCTAAATGCTAACGAGAAAGAAACAACAACTGCAGAAGGACATAATTATCACATCTATTATCCAATGATAATAGAAAAAACTATGGAATTAATCAGCTTGTCTAATTTAAAGATGTGCAGACCTCAGAATGAAAACCAGGATATATGTTATGTTGGTTGTTTTCATAGGAGGAAAAAAGATATGGACACCACCAAAACTGATAAAGATTCAATGTGAACAAGAGAGACCTCTTAATTAGAAGAGATGCTGGTTCATAAAACAATATGGCCATTCAATCTAATCTATAAAATTAACAAATACTTTTCATTTGATCAGATATAAATTGTCAACAGGGAACTTCCCCAAAATCGGGGATTGGGGAACGGATATGTTTTTTGTCTTTTCAGGAGAATGAAGGAATCCAGCTAAGGAGTTTGAAGACCACTAGACCAATGAAATGTCAGGGTGGGGTGGGGGGAAAGGACAAATCACCCACCCCTCAAAAAATAGAAAAAGAGTAAATTAGCCTATTGGTATTTCACATTTCCAAAGGATAAAATTTCATAAACCTTCCCAAATATTAGTTTCTGCTTTTCTCTATAGACTTATAATGCAAATGCTTTCTGTAGTTCCAGTATAACTGATATTAACACTGACTTTGGAGTTGGAATGTGACTCTCCTTCTCTAAAACCAAGCATGCTTGCTTATTAAAATAAAACGTAAAATCTTGGTTTCGAGTCAGAAGAGCCACCTAATAGGGGACAGAAGAAAAACAAAAATTAATTTATTGTCACTAATCACAAAATCCTTATATTCTGACTCTTATATATATGTGTGTGTGTGTGTAACACTTTTGTCATGATATTAGCGGTTATATAAAGTACTAATTCTAGAAAAAGGCTTCATCTAGCTTCCTGTAGCTGACTTCAGGTTTGAGCCTCTATCAGGTAACTAGAAATTAAATTTTTGTATTCTGGATGTATGTAACGAAGTATGGTCCTTTAATCTCTTTGAGATCTGCTGCACATGACATTTAAAATGCTTAAGTTTTCTGCAGTGAACCAAGACCATGCCAAACAGTGACCTCTGAAGCCTCCAAAAGGAGGATGGCGGGGGCCCCCACAAGGATGATCCCACCAGGACTACGATAATATCACTAAGCTGACAAACACCAGCAACTACTCATACTGAAAATTTTTATTTTTATTAAGATCTCCCTCCCCTGCCGGGCGGTGGTGATACACACTTTTAATGCCAGCACTTGGGAGGCAGAAGCAGAGTTTAAGGCCAGCTGGGTCTACAGAGCTAGTTCCAGGACAGCTAGGGCTACCGCACGGAGAAACCCTGTAGATCTCCCTTCTCGGTATATGTTTGTGAGTACATACCACAGCGCATCTGTGGAAGGCAGAGGCTCCCCCACAGCAGGTCCTGAGAATTGGAAACAGGTGCTTTTAGTAGTTGAGCCATCTCACCAGATTCGGTCCCACCCCACCAGGGTCTATGTATTTTTTTAAATTTTATTGGAAACTGACTTTTTATTTTTTGAAATGAAGTCTTACTGTGTAGCAATAGATAGTCTTGGTCTCACAGAGACTCATTTTGCTTCTTCTTTCCAAATGCTGGGATTAAAGGTTATGTGTTATCACACCTGGCTAGAAACTCACTTTTACTTTTTTGAGATAGGGTTTCTCTGTGTTGACCCAGCTGTCCTAAAACTCACCATGTATGACCAGGCCAGCTTCAAACTCCAAAATATACCTACCTCTGCCTCCAGAGTGCTGAGATTAAAGGTGTGCACCACCAATGTCCAACTAAAAACTGGCTTAATGTGTTACAATTCTGAACCCTTTGCAGACTTCTAAAATGGACCGAATGTACTTTACATTATAATATGGCAATGAGCTTATGGACAAAGGTTAAGGAATGTATATACAGGTGTCAAGTGGACAAGTGGTAGAGTTATGACATTAGTGTTAATTTTCAACTTGACAGAATGAAGACTCAACTGACCGATGGAAGAAAAAGAATAATGCCCATTGCTTGGCTAATTCCAACATAAAACAAGAAAAGCAGGGCAGATGAACAGATCAATGGTAGAGTATATTTTCTCTCCCTCCCTCCTTCCTTCCACTTTCCATGCAGAGCTTCGTGTATTCCAGGCTGCTCTCTAACTCACTGTGTAGCTGAGGATGTCCTTGAGCTTCTGATCTTCCTGCTTTCACCTTGAGTGACAAAGTTACATGCATCTTCTCTGCCTAGTTCATGCTCCTGGTTCATGAAATACTTACTGGGGAACCAATTCAGGCTTTATTCCTGTTAGGCATACACTCTTATCAACTGAGCTACAGTCCCACATCTTGGTGACAATTATTGGGAATGTCTTGTAAATAAATGGTAAAGAACTTGAACCCAGTAGAACTAAGAACAGAAGCGCATCCCCTAAATTCATCATACATAGTTGACTCTTACCAAGAACTGATGTGGACGCGGTACTCACCGACGTGGATGGGGGCTGGGAACACAAGAACTGATGTGGACGCGGTACTCACCAACGTGGATGGGCGCTGGGAACAGTCCGTGCTCATGCTCTCCCGGGGTGTACTCCAGCTTCTCTTTCTTTAATTGGATTAATCGGCTCTTTGGGCTGTGATGAAAAAAGAGTAAGAAACAAAGGCAATTAAATTTCTTCCTGAGGTCAAATGAAAATAAATTATATCTGAAAAGATGATTCAATGTATAAAGGCATTTCCCACCAAGACTGACAACCTGAGTTAGAGCCCTGGAAACTATATTGTTAAAGGAGAATTAACTTCTGAACACTATCTTTTGTCTTCAACATGCATGTATGCCGGCCCCTTTTCAATAAATAAACAGAAAGAAAAAAGTAATCTAATAATGTACTTAAAAAAAAAAAAAACCCTGGGGTTAGAGAAATGGTTCAGCAGTTAACAGCATTGCCTGCTCCTTAGAGAGGACCTGTGTCTGCAACTGGTAAGGACCCGGCCACCTCTGTCCTCTGCAGGTCCTCCCATGTACCTTTGAGCACCTATAAATATGTACATAAATAAAAAAAAAACCTTAAATTCTGGAAATTCCCTTTAAAAAGAGGTTCTTTAACATTCTCTAACAATTTTACAAAAAATTAAATTTAATTTTCTTTTATTCATTTAACAACAGCCCTGGCTGTCCACGTACGATGGTCTGCAGCCCTGACCCCTGGAGCTTATGATGGGAGGAGAGAACTCACAGCTCAGAGCTGTTCGCTGTCTTCCACAAATACGCAAAGTCACTTATACTGATGCAGACACATCATACAAAACATAACAAAACAAAAGGATTTATTCATTTTATGTGTGTTTTGTTTGCATGAGTATGGGTGTCACACAAATGCCTGGTTCTTGTAGAGGCCAGAAAAGGGCAATGGATCCTCTGAAACACTATGTGGGTGTTGGGAACTAAACTCGGGTCCTCTCCAAGATCAGCAAGTGCTCTTAACCACTAAGCCATCTCTCTAGCCATTAAAGATAATTTTTAAATGAATTTATGATTTATTATCAGTATATGTTGCGGTTTTATATTGTTTGGTAAAAAAGTGGGTCCCTAAAGTAGCAGTGATGGTGACAATATTGCTAACAGAAGCCCATCCCTCAGGATTCTCATAAGGCAGGACTGTTTACCAGCTAATTCAAACAGCCTACACCCTGCTATCACAGAAAACACTTTCCCACAAGTTGCTGTTCTTTGCCCCCAGAGATAACCTTAGCATTTTGATCCCCAGTAAACTGTCCTTATACGCACAGAGCAGTCCAGTTTGGGGGTTCACTACCCCTCTCTGACATACACCTATTTTACATGTGTACATACCTGGGTCAGATAAAGTATTCTTGGGTAAAACAGGGTCCTGAGTGTGAAGAGCAGGCCTGTGCTGGAAACTCTACAAGCACACAACACCCTAAGGACTGGGGCTCTTAAATTGAATCTTCTTTCAGTTTTAAACTTTTCTGCTATGTTCAGAGCCTCATGGCCATTTTTATTTTAATTTTTGAGACAGGGTCTCACTGTATATGGTAGTTCTAGCTGGCTAGGACCTTGCTATGTAAGCTAGCTTCAAATTCACAGATATCCACCTGCATGCCTCTCAAGTGATAGGATGAAAGAAAACTTTAAAAGTACACCCTGAACTACTTGGCTGGCTAGGGACTGTTTCAGATTTTTGTTGTTGTTTACATTTTTAAATAAAAAACTGAATTAAGGCCAGATGTCACAGCTTATGCCTTTAATTCCAGCACTTTGACATAAAACTAGTTTTTAACTTTAAACCATGAATATTTCCTTGATGTTAAAAATCCACACCCCGCTCAATTATGTTCACAGCAGGCTTGTTTGTCATAGTCAGAACCTGGAAACAACCTAAACGCCCCTCGATCGAAGAATGGACAAGGAAAATGTAGTCCATTTACACAATGGAGTACTACACAGCAGAAAAAGATAACGACAGCTTGAATTTTGCAGGAAAATGGATGAAGCTAGAAAACATTATTTTGAGTGAGGTAACCCAGACACAGAAAGACAATTATCACATGTACTCACTCATAGGTGGTTTTTAAACATAAAGCAAAGAAAGCCAGCCTACAAACCACAATTCCAGAGAATTTAGACAACAATGCGGACACTAAGAGATCTAATCTACATGGGAAGTAGAAAGTAGAAAAAGACAAGATCTCCTGAATAAATGAGGAGAATGGGGCCTTGGGGGAGGATTAAAGGTGGGAGGGGAGCAGAAAAAAATGTAGAGCTCAATAAATATCAATAAAAAGAAAAGAATTTAAAAAAGCAAAAAAAAAAAAAAAAACAAACCTCAAAACAAACAAACAAACAAAAAACCACACCACACCCCGTGTCCCTAAAAGACAGGGTCTCATGCTGATCTAAAATTCTCTATGTGGTAAGGTGGCTTTTAACATCTCTTCCTCCCTCCTCAGCACCCTCCTGCAGTGCTGGGTAACAGACAAAGGTTAGGAGGCACTAGAAACCAGACTTAAAATTTTCAGCATAAACGATCTACATATCCAGCCCAAAATTTTCTAATTACAATAAACACCAGTGACCTCAGCCACCGCTGGTGGGCTAGTATGCTCTCTCTACACAATTTTAGACTGTGTCAATAAAGTAACTTGATAAGAGTACTTATCAAGTTGTATCAAGGAACTATAAAATTCATCAAACTATTCATCTGAAAATTTAATCTATGAAATTCAAAATACATTTATTTATGCAGAAAATACTATTTAGCTTCATTTTGGGGTTTTAATTGATTAATTAATTTTTTATTTTTATTTTCTTTGGTTTTCAAGACAGGGTTTCGCTGTAGTTGTAGAGCCTGTCCTGGAACTAGCTCTTGTAGACCGGGCCGGCCTTGAACTCACAGAGATCCTTCTGTCTCTGCCTTAATCCTCCTGCCTCTGCTTCCAGAGTGCTGGCATTTCAGGTGTATACCACCACACCTAGCTTTCATTTTTATTTTTAAACAACAAAAGGCATAATTAGACTCCAACCGACAGAATGGAAGTAGAAGAGAGAGGCTAAACATCAGGGATGATAATTATAATCAGTAACACAGTGTAGCATCAACAGTCCAGTGAGTACTCAGGTACTTGAGAGACTGGTACATATACAATACACATCACACATATATAATGCTATAATATACTGGGTTTTGGTAGTGAAAAAAATATTTTGTTCAGGCACAGTGGTTAAAGGTGCCTGCCACCCAGCCTGTGGTGGCAGAGAGAAGACTGGATTACACAAATGTAGAAGTAAAAATTGTAAAGCTATTGTGGATAATAGGAATAAGAAGATATAAGCTTTCAGTCGCTACTACTTACTCTGTGGTTTTGTAAACATCAGAATACAGCCCAGCTCTCTGGTACTTTTTCTTTGGAGGACGTGGGGCCTTCTTTTCTCGTGGGATGAGAGCCAGCACAGGCTGCAAGGTACTTTCAGGTTCAGAAGGTTCGATGGGGGTTTCAAGAGGAATGGGAATTTCAGCTGGTGTTTCTATAAAGCTAGAAAAAAATAATTTGAAGATGTTATTGTGAAAAATAATTATACACTCACATACATATGTATATTTGTTGTAATTTTTGAGGCAGAGTCTTAGTCTTGAACCTGCTATGTAGACAATAAAGAATGATCTTAAGATCCTGATTCTTGTGGCTCCTATTCTCATGCACTGACTGTACAGCCATGCATCAGGCATGTTGATACCCATTTTAATGCCAGAGGCAATCACCGTTCTATGAGCTGGTGGACAGCTTGGTCTATACTACAGAGTTCTAGGCTAGCCAAAGCTACACAGTAAGACCCTGTCTTAAAAAAGAAAAAAAAGCACTCAGGAGGCAGGTGGATCTCTGTGAGTTCAAGGCCAGCCTGGTTTACAAGAGCTAGTACCAGGACAGGCTCCAAAGCTACAGAGAAACCCTACCTTGAAAAACTAAAAACTAAAACCTAAATAAATAAATAAAACAAGTTGGGTGGATGGCTCACACATTTAAAACCCAGCACTCAGGAGGCAGAAGCAGGCAGATTTGAGTTTGAGACCAGTCTGGTCTACAGTGCAAATGCCAGGACAGCCAGGGCTACACAATGGAACCCTGTCTTGGAGGGTGGGGGTAAACAAACAAAAACAAAAAGAAACACCAAGACACATAGATGCACTGGTTAGTGCTTTTAATCCTACTGCTTAAGAAGTTGAGCCAGAAGGCTAAGAGAGATGAATTAGCAGTTAAGAATTGCTCTTTCAGAGGACCTGGCTTCAAGTTGAAGCACCCACATAGTAATTCACAACTGTCTGTAACTCCAGCTCCAGGGGATCTGATAGCTACACACAGACACACATGCAGGCAAAACAACAATGCACATAAAATAAAGACAAATAAATTCACTAAAACAAAAAAGGAGTCGATGCAGAAATATAAGTGCAAAGTCATTCTTAGCAATGAGTCTCACAGCTGTAATCCCAGATCCTAGACGCTAATGAAGAAAGACATCCATGTGAAATTAGCCTATCATACAGGGTATGACTGTATCTAACCAAACAACAAAAATTTTCAAAGTAAACCTGATGGCAGTACAAGTCTATAAACAAAACTACTACCTAGGCGGAGGCTGAGTAAAGTCAAGTTCAATGCCTATTTGGACAATTTACTGAGAACTTTCCTAAAAATTAACACCACAGCCAGGCGGTGCTGGTGTATGCCTATAATCCCAGCACTGGAGAGGCAGAGGCAGGCAGATCTCTGTGAGTTCGAGGCCAGCCTGATCTATCTACAAGAGCTAGTTCCAGGACAGGCTCCAAAGCCACAGAGAAACCTTGTCTCAAAAAACAAACAAACAAAAAAAATTAACACCACACACACACACATTCATATCTACCTCTTTGGTCCTCAAACATTATATATTAAACAAATCTACTGGCTGTGATACACACCAGTAGGGTACACAGAAGAGAAGGATCACAAGTTCAAGGCCATCCTAGGCTCAAAGGACTAGAGCAACAGCTCAGTAGTTAAGAGTACATCTTGCTCTTTTAGAAGACCAATTTAAAACAAACAATCAAACAAACAAAAAACCAGCTTGGAACTATAACTAGGTTGTAGTTCAATGTGTTACAACATTTAAATAGCTATGGATAAAATCTCTTTAAATTTGATAAAAGTATAAACTTGAAGTTATATGAATCTAAGTTACCATGCGGAAGATCAACTCAAAACAAAGCAAACGATAATAAATGTACTGAAAGTCATCAATGAAGAAAACAAGACAGTGAGAGGAAGCAGGATATAAGAATTTCAAGGTTAGAAGCCAGGAGCAAATCCAGTCCTGGGAGCCAACCCACTCCTGGGACACTGGCAGACCAGGATTGATCCAACGACCTGACTGGAATCTGCGATCTCCACCGGAACAGGAGTGGGACTGAAGCAGCTACCTAGGACACAGAGAGAACAAGCTCCACCAGGAGCAGAAGCAAGAAGCAAACCCAGTCCTGGGAAATGGGTGGATCAGGATTGAGCCAGCAACTAGATCCAGAGTCAACGATCTCCACCAGAACAGGTACAAGGGAGTAAACACTGAGCAAGTGAGCCATAGCCAGAGACTTCAAGGAAGTAGACCTAAGCCAAAACCCTGGTGGGTCTGGGCAAGAGTCTAGTACCTCCCAGGAACTAGGCTGGAGCCAGGACCTCTGTCAGTCTGGGCGCGAGTTAACCTGGGTCCTCCGAGAAAAGAGGCAGAAACCAAAGATCTCGGCGGGGCCAGGCACAAGTCCAGGACCTTAGAAAGAGTAGGCCTGAGCCAGGTCCTCTGTGGGTTCCGGCATTGGTCTGGAACATCAAGGGGAATAGGCAGGAACCTGAAACCCCTGCGGGTCTGAGCTCGAGTCTGGGGCCTCTGCGGAAGTAAGCAGGTCCTCTGTGGGGGTTTGGTTGCACCCAAGCATGGGACCTCCGAGGCAGTAGACCGGAGCCAGAAACCTTTCCAGGTCCAACTCTAACCCAGGGACTTCTGCAGGAGGAGATCCAGACCAGGATTTACAGAAACAAATCAAAGCCAGCAGCCTAGGCCAAAGTACACCCGAAACAGCAAACTCCAAGGGAGCAGACCAAAGCACCTCCAGGAACAGGAGTAATCAACAGGGTAACTAGAACTGTGACACTGACTGTACCACGAGGAGCAACCATCTGAGCTTTGGACTCACTGGCACCTAGAACATTATTCAACAGAATCTCAGACAGCCCCAACCACACCTATTAGAGGAAAAGATGAGTAGAAAAGGTAAGATCACATGCTATACCACAAAGAGAAACACAACACCAGTAAAACCTAAAGACCCTACAACAGCAAGACCTGAACAACCAAAAAATGGATGAACCAGAAGAAAATGACCTAAAAAATAACTTCAAGAGAATGTTTGAAATTCTTAAACATGAAAAGAGAAATTCCCTTAAAGAAATTGAGGAAAAGATCATAGAAGGACAAAACAAGATATTCCATGACAAATCTAGATTTCACCAATACCTAGCCATAAACCCAGCCCCACACAAAATACTAGAAGGAAAACTCCAAACCAAGGAAGATGGCTACACAAACAAAAACACAGACAATTGATGATCTCATTACAGTAAGTCTCAAAGAAGAAAAAAATACACAAATTAACATCACCAACGATGAAAACTGAATTAACAGGAGATAGCAACCCCTGGTCATTAATATCCCTTAATGTAAATGGACTCAACTCATCTAAAAAAAGGCACAGGCTAACAGACTGGATACAAAAACAGAATCCATCCCTCTTCTGCATACAAGAAATATATGTCAACCTCAAAGACAGACACTGTCTCAGAGTAAAAAGTTGGGAAAAAAATATACCAATCGAATGGACCTAAGAAACAAGCAGGTGTAGCTATCCTAATATCTAACAAAATAGACTTCAGTCAAAAGAGACAAAGAAGGACATTTCATATTAGTCACAAGAAAAATCCATCAAGAGGAATTTTCAATACTGAACATCTATGCCCCAAATACAAGGGCACCCTCATATGTGAAAGAAACACTTCTAAAGCTTAAATCATACATTAAATCCCACACACTAATAGTGGGAGACTTCAACACTCCCCTCTCAACACTAGACAGGTCAATCAGACAAAAAATGAACAGAGAAATAAGAGAACTAACAGATGTTATGACTCAAATGGACTTAACAGACATCTATATAGAATATTCCATCCAAACAGAAAAGAATATACCTTCTTAGCACCTCATGGAACCTTCTCAAAAATTGACCACATAGCTGGGCAGTGGTGGCACACGCATTTAATCCCAGCACTCGGGAGGCAGAAGCAGGCAGATCTCTGTGAGTTTGGGGCCAGCCTGGTCTACAACAGCTAGTTCCAGGACAGGCTTCAAAACTAGAGAAACCCTGTCTCGAAAAACAAACAACAACAACAAAAAAATTGACCACATACTCGATAACAAAACAAACCTCAACAAATAAAAAAAAAAATCAATATTAGTATAGCTCTGATTGACCTTAAAACTCCAGATTGTTCTTCAACCTGGAATCATTGGCTGGGCGTGGTGGCACACGCCTTTAATCCCAACACTCAGGAGGCAGGACCAGACTGACCTCTGTGAGTTTAAGGCCAGTCTCATCTACAAAACAAGCAAACGAACAAAAAAAGAAAACAGCCTACAGATTCAGTTATGAAGCCAGGCTGTTGTGCACACCTTTAATCTCAGCAGTTAGGGGGCAGAGGCAGGTGAATCTCGGTGATTGAGGCCAGCCTCAAATCAAAGCTACAAAGCAAGTTCCAGGACAGTCAGAGATACACAGAGAAATCACGTCTCAAAAAACAAAAAAAAAAACCCCAAAAAAAAACAAAAAAAAAAGAAGAAAGAAAGAAAGAAGGAAAAGAAAAGAAAGAAAGATTCAGTTACATAAATGTAGAACACTTTGGAGACACTTAAGCTCGTCTTGGAGAATTAGCTCATCAATGAAGATGCCAACTGCTAAGCCCAATGAGCCAAGTTTGATGTCTGGGACCCACGTAGTGGAAGAGATCTCACAGACTGTTCTTGGGGTTCCCCTACACCTGCCATCGTATGCATACACACATATAGAAGACAAATAAACAAGAAAATAAAGAAGTTAGAGTGCTGTTATTTAGACCACATTATCTTAAGAAAGAAATTACCTTTTATTGTTTTCTTGTTCTTCTTCCTCTGGTATTGTCTTCTGCTTTTTCCTAGTTTGTTCTTCTAACAGCCAATTTTTCCTCTTCAACCCCTTCTTATGTTCTGAATTAAGATTCACACTCTGAACCACAGCCTCGATAACATCAGTAACTGTGTCTGGACTTAGGCGCAGTGCTACTTCTTCACCTTCATTCAAGTCTGGGTTGACCAACTGGGCAGCCTGGAATGCTTGCATTGATACCACGGCTTGGAGGGGACATTTCCGAGGTCGACCTGGTCTGCGTTTCACAAAATTGTTCCCTGTCCTGGCCTGCCTTTGAAGTTTTTTGGCTTTTAAAATTTTATTGACGTGGTCCAGGTTTTTCTTGGTGGCCAAGATTTTGTCATAATTGCACATTTTCCGAGCTTGGCGCTGCATAGCTTCAACTACACTTCTCTTGATATGATGGGGAGAACATCGGCTTGCTAACTTTTCAGAAAGGAGTGGAACATCATTATTACAAGAGTCACCTGGGACTGCAGATACTAGAAGACTATCTGATTTACCTAGGGCTCGCTCTTTGCTATAGCTGTGGCCTGGACTGGAGGAAGGAGGTACAGACACAGTTGCAATTGCGGCATCGGTATTTTTCTCCACGGACTCTTGCTCATCATGTTGTACTATCCGCTGCAACAGACTGTCTACAGAGTCATCCACAGACGCAACCAATCTGGGACTTCTGGAGGGAATTCCATTCACTAAAAGAGACAACACAGCACACACAGACAAAAAATTGATCACTGAATTATCTAAATTGCTCTGTCTCTATTTTTTTCTTCGCCTTTTTGAGATAAGGCTGTGCTACAAAGCCTTCGCTGGTTCAGAATGCACCGGGCAAACCAGGCTGGTCTTGAAGCTGTGGTGATCAATCCTTCCTGCCTCTTCCTTCTGAGTGCTAGAATTATAGGTTATCAACCAGCTTCTTTTTCATTAAATTTTATTTTTAATTTATGTATATGTATGTGTATGGCATGTGCACAAAGGTGCCCACAGAGACCAGAAAAGAGAGTCAGATACCCTGAAGTTAGTGAGCTGCTGGATATGGGTGCTGGGAAGTGAACCCAGCTATTCTGGACAACAGTATTTTTAACTAAGCCATCTCTCAGCCCCTTTTATTTTGTTTAAGACAGGTCTTCTGTAGCTCAGGATGGCCTTGAATCTACTACATTTGAGATTCTTCCTAATCCTCAGTCTCTGTCTCCCAAAGTGCTGTAATTACAGGTGTGTCCCTCACCATGCCTGGCTAAGTAACTTTCTATACTAACAAAAGATAAAGGCTATACAGTTAAAGACTGGATAAAGAGCTAAACTTGTCTGAGTGATGGGGTCTAACCCATAGACTTGCCCATATCAGGCAAGTTGTTTACCACTCAGCTAAATCCTGAGCAAGATGGGTTCCTTCCCTTCTTTCTTCCTAATTTTTCAAGCAGGGTGTTACACCATAGCCCAGGCTGGCCGGGACCTCATTAGATAAGATTATCATCCTTCCTTAGCCTTCTACATTCTAGAATTAAAGGTGTGAGATGCCATGCCTGTGGGGTTTTTGTATGTGTGTTCATGTGGATCCAAATCTGTACTTGTGGGGGTGGGGTGGGTGGGGTCCACTCTCATATGCTGTTTCTCATGGGCTATCCATATTATTTGTATTTGGAACCAAATACAAATCCTTTCCTAGAGTGTGCTGAATGACTGAATCATTTCTCCACCTCCATGACTAAGGATGACCCTAAGGGCTGAACTGAATGCACTTCACAACCTCAGAGTAGGAGGACAAGGGATGGAAGGTCACACTTAAAAGTGGTGTGCTTGAATGTCAAGCTGATAAGGGGTGGCGTTGCGATGGGGTTAGGTCAGTGTTAATTTCAACTTGACAAAATACAGAATTACCTGCGAGATGGGGCTCTGAACATGACTGTAAGAGATTATCTTTCAAAAAGAATTACTGCTTGTACTTTGTACACGTGTTTGGAGGTAGATATGTGGAATCGTGCATGTATGGAGGTCAGAGGACAACACTGTGTTTTAGGTTTTCCTTCCATTTTGCTGTGGATTTGGAAGGGAAGAAAGCAGCTGTCAAGCTTCTGTCGCGTGTGTTTAGATCTACCTGATGAGTCATGTCTTCAGCCCAATTGTGACTTAGTTAATGAGGTGGATGACCATCCACCACAGTGAGTGGTGTCCTTCTTCTAAATGGGACCTTGAGAAGGGGAACCGAGAGCAGCTCTTATTTATCCCTCTTCATTTTCTGACTGTGGATGTGATGTGACTACCTGCTTCAAGTTCCTGTTGCCCTGACAAAGATGAACGGTAGCTTCAACTGAGAGCTAAAATAAACGGTTTATCCCTTAAGTTTCTTCTTCTAAGGCATTGATAACAACAGGAAAGTAACTAAGTCTCTAAACTCATAATTTATTATTATTATTACCCACAGGTCATAGTTTATTAATTAATGGACTGAGCCACTGAGTAGGACTGAGGCAGGCAGGTACAGCAAAGCCCTATCCAAACATATTAAAGTCAGTGCTGGCGAGATAGCTTAGTAGAAAGCATTTGCTGATAACCCGAGTTTCAACCCTAGGGCCCAGAGCGGAAGGAGAGATGCAACATTTCAAAGTTGTCCTCTGATGGTAGCCTGCATACATGAGTGTACGCACGCGTGCACACACACACATTTTAAAATTAAGAAAATGGAAGCCGGGCGGTGGTGGCGCATGCCTGTAATCCCAGCACTCTCTGGGCAGAGGCACATGGATCTCTGTGAGTTCAAGGCCAGCCTGGGCTACAAGAGCTAGTTCCAGGACAGGCTCCAAAAAGCTACAGAGAAACCCTGTCTCGCCAAACCAAAAAAAAAAAAAAAAAAAAATCAAGAAAATGGTATTAGAGTTGGGGTTCAGTTTAAAAAGTGTCTGCCTAGTATGTAACAATATCATGTATCAAGTTTGGGGGGAAAATTCAGCATGTGGGAGAGTGGGAGAGGTTGGAAGATCAGATGTTGAAGATAACTTTGGCTACACAGTGAGTTTGAGTCCAATCTGGATTGAGTCCCTATTCAAAAACAAACATGGGAAAAACATGTTATTAATCTTTTTTAAAGACTTTACTTTTATTTATGTGTCTACATCACAGGGGTAGAGATGTTTTCTGATACCAGAGGAGAATAGGGAATGCTAGGATCAAGAATCAGGTCTTTTAGAAGGTCAATAATTGCTTTTAATCACTGAACCACCTCCCAAACCCAATCCCAAATATTTTCCAATTAAGTACTCGCAATTACAGAAACATCCATCTCATCAGGAAATGGATTTTTCCTAACAATCCCAGAAACTTGATGCTAAAATCCTAAAAATGAACAAGGTGGGGGAGGGATGAGATGTATAACTGGATCTCTGTTTCTTTCCAATGTGGCCATATTGAATAAATCTCCCTTTTCTGCTGTCTGCACTCCACTACTGTGCCTTGAATTGGCAAATTAAGGGCTAGTGGGGGAGAAAAGTTTTTTAGGACTGTCAAGAGTAGCTTCTAACTGTAACCCTAGAACCCACACTGTAAGAAGAACTACACACACACACACACACACACACACACACACACACACACACACACACACAC